ACTATAAACTAAGACGAGCTAAATTTATCGGGACAGTAACATTCATGATCAGCAGTTTGGCTTAGTATAAATAGGTGCATACTGCTTTGACTATCATATTAATAACAATCAAGCTAAGACATGGGAAGGAACATTATAGTTCTTGAATTTAAACCGGCAAAAAGTCCTTTTTACTGACTCTGCAAACAACTGATCTATTTTGTTAAAAACTACTCTTCCTTATAAAATACCAACCACAAAAGTACTCACACCATCTGGGTTCTGCCTAAGAAGACACAGTTCATGTCAGATGCGTCCTGCTACGAGTCGTCCTATATGAGTAAATCAGTGGATCATAACTAAGGAGATAGGGATCAGGGCAAGAACCACGAGCAGGACACTGTAAGACCCTGAATTTCTCTCTCTGTATTTTGAAAGCCAACTCACAGAGCTCTGGGGCAATAAAGGCACAACAAACCACTGTGGGTCCAAGAATAATGTTTTCCCTCTGAAACTGCTGACCTGTGTCTGTACATCAGCATGCTGTCTCTCCAGACTGAGGAGCTGCTGCAAACACCCATTTAAATGGTCTGTGAAAAGCGCTAATTCAGTGAAGGTGGAAATTTGTCCCAGGAAGAAGAATATAGGGGAAGTCAAGCTAGAAGGTCTCGGAGCTCCTGTGTCACAAATGCGCCCTTCCTGTTCTCCCCAGAGTCTGCCCTAGAGCACTGTGACCTCAACAGTCACTCCTGGGGTAGAAACAGAAGAATGAACCAATGCTCTTCAATATGCTCCCAGGAAAACACGTTCAAGAGACCTATCCGCATAGATTCCATAACTTGACACACACTTGCATGCATGCAATTAAAACAAATGGCTCTCTCTCTCTCAAAACCACGGTGCTAACAGTACTAAAAAAAGTATGCTTTCTAATGTCTGTGTGTTTATGCATACAGCTTTCTGAAATATGCTTTATGATTTTACTTCCCATCTTTAAAATACGTATATATGCGGGATGTATGTAAATTCAAGGAACATTTCGATGGTTTCTTCATTCTCTTTCCCACAAGCTTTGGAAGCCCCCTTAGTTCTACTCTGTCCTGCAGCATCGCCATGAGTCAGCATCAGCCCCATGGCAGTGAGTTTGGGTTTGGGTCCTATACTTATCGATAGTGTTCTTTGAAGTCTCGGGGAGTTTGGAGACTTTGGAAACCAAATGAGATCTCTCTTAGCTAAGGCGGTGGGGACTAAGACCCCCATCTGAATGGGGTGAAACAGAAATGGGTATGAGGCAAGTTCCTCCACAGGATGGCCCCCAGCAGTCTCGTGGTCACTCAGTCCTCAAGTGCCAATGCAGTATTCCTAGCGGACCTTCCCACGTTTCAAGCAGGAGAAAGAACAAATCAGAAGCCTTTTTAAAACCTCATATCCATCAGAGTCACAGTTATACGCTGAAGTGCAAGCTGATGATGTACATGCTAGCATGGGTAAATGAAAGCAGCCAGACATGAAAGTACATCCTTTACGATCCAGTCTTATCAAGTGCAAGAACAGGTCAAACCACCTAACGATGGCAGCTGTCAGGAGGGTGGCTAGGGGATAACAAGAGGAGGCTTGTGATAGTTTCTCAATACGGGTACTGCTTAGGTGGCAGTGTTCATTTTTGGGGAAATTCATCAAGCTGTACACTCCAAAGAGGGCCTTCCAAAAGTTTGTGGGGAAATGCCATTATCTTTTAATTCCATTTCTCCAAGACCTTTCTGAAGACCCCATAGGGGTACCCTTTTCTCTATTTTTGTTATACCAAAAGATTTCCTGAAGGTTACCCAGAGAGCAATCAGACCCCAGGTCTTTTCTCCCCTTTCCAGCATGAGACGGGTTACTCCCTGGGAAAACTGAACCATAGGGCCCCTGGTTCAAAGTCACCACACACAGCGGGAAACAAACACCAGAGACTGCTCTGAAAACAGGGTTCTGGTAACAATCCACACAGGAAACCTTGAGATTGCCGCTCTCTTCCCCACACAGCTCCCTGAATCTTGGCTGCCAGGTATGCACTGCCCAGGCAGAAGGCCAAAGGATGACTGTCACCTCAGGGAGAAGACACACAGAAACAATCTCTGGAGGCTCCTCCCCGGCAGGGAGGCTGTGTGGCTGGAGGTCCTGACCATAGGCACTCAAAGCCCAGTCCCCAATGCAGTGCACACTATTCAATAGGGGCAGAGAGTAAAGGGTCACCAGGCATTCAGCCTTCTAACATAAAAGTCCGAGACCTAGACAAGAGAGGAAAGAAGGAAGTGAAACAATGCATGCGGGTTTACGTGTGTGCCTGTATGCATATGTATGGAGTCACTGGTAGTGTAAAAGGGTAGCACAGGCTCGCTGCTAACAAAGGCTGGCAATTTGCTTGGTAGTTTGATTCCACCCAGAAATGCCTCAAGAAGAGCCGGCAATTTACTTCTTAAAAATCAGCGGAGCAGACTTCAACTCTGACATCATAAGCTGTGATAGCCACTGGCTTGTTTTACAGTTTAGCTGAATCTTGAGTTTCTTTGCTTGGAGCATCGGTGGCTTTGACAGCATGAGCCTATTGGCTTAATAGGATCAGTTGGAAGTGTTCTCCCTCGACTGCTGGTTTCAGACTGCTGGTTTCAGAAGCGTTTAAACGGAACAGAGCCAGTCTTCTGTAAGTATTGACCAGCAGTGCCACGTGGCCTCACACTTGCTCTGGCTGTTCTGGCTGACTGACTCCATCATAGCACGCACCACATAAACATGCGGGGTTTTCTACTTCCTCCTAGATCAGTTTAGATGGTTCTAGGGAGGACACTACTTGGATAGAAACAAAGTCAACAATTTTGTCATTAAGAAACAAAACCAAGCGGGTCCAGCAGTGCAGCCCTGGAGATACAAAGTGAACTGGGGCAGGCAAGGTCGGCAGCTGGGGGAGGAGATGAGCTGGGGCATGGAGAATAGACAGGGACAAGGAAATGAGTGAAAAAACACTAACAGGACAGCCTGAGGCCCTCACCCCTTCGAAAGATGCCAGCAGCACGGGCTTGCATCCTCTTGGCGTGCTTCGGGCCCCGGACCTCCGTGTTGGCCTTCCACTTATCATTTCACAGACACGAGGCCTGGAGTGCCACAGTCTCCAGGCAATAAAAAGCGTCTCAGCTTTATTTTGGTTTAGGTTTTAGTCTTCTGTTCAGTGTTATGTAATATTCAAATAAATCAATAAGGCCGGTAATAGAGATCACACAATATTCATGATGAGCTTTTCCAAATGATAACATTTTAGTCCTTCTGGCCATATACATCTTCAATTCTTTAACTTTTTAAAGAAAGCATTTTATTATCCATAAAAGCCTCTACAATCCTTGCCTGATCACACCCCCACCCTCTCCAGAAGACAGCTGATCCTCTAAATTCAGCGCACATGAGAAATGAACTCATTGATTGGCTCTCCGGACAGCGATCTGAACTGTAACAGGGACCAGTATCCTGCTCACTTAAAAGAATGACTGGCTCAGTGAGAGTGTCGCTTTGGAAAAACCACCTGACATGTATTGCCAATGATGCTATTCAAGCTCTCAATGTAACACTTCTCAGAACTTGTGTTTGTAGTGAGCTTGACAACTTCCCAATAGTTAAAGACTTTTTCTGATGAGGGCAGAAAACAGATGTGATTTCTTGAAACTGTATAATGAAACCTAACTAGGAGAATAGCTACATTCCACGAGTCAGTATTTTTCTAAGGACCAACACTTTCCGTAGTCATAATATATGCATGAGGAAAGACTCAGTCAGAGTGCAAAGGATCTTCAAGTAACAATAGTCAACCACCACTGGTGGGGCTTTTAAAATTAGACACAGCTAGAACGAGCTTCAGAGATGTGACCATTTGTCAAACTTTAGTTTGCTTGCCAAGAGTATCCACAATGATCTGAAAATGCAATTTCCAATGACACATTTTCTCCATCTTCCAGTGACCTATCTGCACAAACTTTATAGTAGGGCTTTGAATAGATTGTTTTTTCCCCCTGGATATTGAGAACCATGGACATAAAATCACAACCATTAATTGCCATAGTTTAGACCCTAATCCTGTCAGTCACTTGAAAACTAGTGATTCTTTTACTTAAAGTAGTTACTGTTCTCCTACTACAAATATGTTAGCTGTTCAATTTACTACAGAAGGAAAACTGGTCATTGCTCTTAATTAGAAGGTGATGAATTTGAATGGTAAAATTTTAAATGTATTAGACACACTCAAAGTCCTTTCTCTCAAGTTATAAAGGAATTAATCCCACTGATTTGGCATGTGACTCCTGAAACCTACATAGTAATCACCCAGATGACCTGGTGTTAATGGATTTAAAATCTGGTTCTTAGATTTTTAAAATGTCCTTTAATTAGAACTAACAATAATTTATAAATCATCAAGGGTTCATAAAGGAGGCAAGGAGGGTGAGGCTCAAGCAGAAAGAAAATGTTTTAAAAACGATGATGGCAACAAATGTACACGTGTTTGGTGCAATGTATGTATGTATATATGTATGTATGTGTGTGTGTGTGTATGTATGTATGTATTGTGATAAGAGCTTATAGGCCCCCAATAAAATGATTTAAAAAAAAGAAGTCCCTTCATTGAAAAAAACAACTGACCATTTTTTCAAAAGAAACCATTTTTAATCCAATGAAACCCCCATCGTTCAGAAGTAAAGCACCAAAGGTCTTAACCTTTCACCAACCCCTCTGTAGATGTAGAAATAATGTTAAAAGAATGGTTCCTATACAAATCTCCCCAGTAAAGGAGTATTATTTTCAAAGGCAGAAACCTTGAAAACAATTTTCAGGCTGAGATCTGATACATGGATCTCACAAATAAAGTTTCATCCCCTGACCTGCTGAAAAAGAAAGGTTTATACACATTAGCTTTTTTTCAAAAAGGTCAGCTAGTTCCAGCCCCATCGGGCAGCTGCTTCCCGGCCCTGGTCATGCCCCAGCACCCGGCGGCTCACCTCTGCAGCTCGTGAAGCCCTCTGGCAGCTGGCAGGCTGGAGCTGTGTCTTAGGAAGTTCTGCTTCAGATTGAGATGAGTGAGGTCTTGGCTGTAAAAGAGGTTGGCAGGCAGATGCTCCAGGCTACAGCACGAGAGGTCCACTGAGCTAATACGCTGTGATGCAACCTGGCGGAAGAGACACAGACAATTTTGTGTGAGCACTGTCCATCTCCTAGGATAACTTTCTGTACAGAAATAAGACACTGCTATTTGGGAGCACACACGTGCTATGCAAGTATCACTGTTCATCCAAATACACACCAACAGAGCAGCCACCCGGCACAAAACTGAGCTGAGGTTTTGCCATGGCTCAGCCAGCTGCAAAGAGCAGCAATTTCAGTGAGGTCCAATTGGGGCAATGCTGCAGTTGGGGTGGTGGTGGTTCATGGGGGCGGGAGGGTTGACAGCACAGGCCTCGAGGTGACTACAGGGAAGCAACGGGGCACACTAGGGGGCATACTAGCTGAAGTGAACGGAGGGGAGGGAGCGCCGTAGGGACTGATGTGGAACAGCACAAGGCCTGTGGCCTCAGCCCCAGCCATGACAACACCCTGTCCACTGAACTCGACCGAGCCCATGCCCTACCCACTACTGACCCTCCGGTTGTCTCCCTCACAGAACTCCACTGAGATGTTTATAAATCCATTCTGAGTTGCTCCAGTAGGTCTTCTAATTAGAATTTACTATTGCTTTTTGTGGCTAAATGTTTATCTTCATGCCCTCCTGAGTAAAAGACTGTTCAGCAGGAGTCTGGTACCCATGGCCCTGGCAAGAGTTGACACTGTCTTTCTGACATGCTCTCCCCACTGGCCCAGGCTCTATGGCGCTAGGCTTCCGCCCTCGGCCCTCGGCTTGGTGCTGCCTCTCCTCCCAGGGGCACAGAAGGTTCTAAGACTTGGGCCGGTTCTCCTTCCAGCTCTTCTCTGTTTAGCAAAACCTTAGTAAAACTTCACAATCATCTGCTTTACCTCCTTCCCTTTTATCCAACTCCCAGTTTCCATGACCACATTACAGAAGGCAGGAGAACAGGGCCCCTAGGAGTATGGGCCGTCATCTCCCCACTGGCAGAGAGCTGGCACCTTCTTTTAAAACCCACAGAGAAAACATTCTAATCTGTGTTAATTGCTGCTATTCCATTATCACAACTATTACTACTTCCAAGTGAATTATACATTTGACATCCATTGAAACTAAAATTCTCCTATACTAAGGTGCTATTCCAAAGAAAAAGTGCGTGCCATGCACTCTGCTAGTGGCATACTTGAGCAGAGAGAAAAATTACTGTGCACACAGAGCGAAGGGGACTGCAGTGAGAGTGACCTGACGCACGAGACCTTAAAAGGGAACCTTGAGTCTGCCTTTTAGCAGTGCCATCTTTTCTTGAATGTGCACCCTATTAAGAAGAGGAAAGAAGAGTCTAATAGGGCAAATCCCTGCATAAACCAAACGATGTGAGAAGAGCCAGGCTCTTGCAGGGACTGGTGGGCAGGTGGGACAGACCAGGCCCACAGATCCCCAGTAGCAACTGTTCAGAGGATTTGAGGGGGAGGCACACAAGCAGCTGATCACGTATTCAAATTTATGGGCTGAGCAATCAGCAAGACCTGGCCACACCCAAGACCAGACAAGAGACCATCTTTGGCCCAGGAGGACACCAGGAGAGACTGGGGAGGCGTGAAGAGGCCTCGAGGACAGAATGCCCCGCCGTCCAGAGTGGAGCTTGAGAGAAGAGCTAAGAGAAGAGCTACAGTTTTTGACCACCTATAATCTTCCCTCTACTCTTTTAAGAGCCCTCAAACCTACACTGATAGGTGCTGCAAACAGAGCCGCCTGAGGGACCTCAACCCACCCCTCAGACACCTTGGACTGGCCCAAGGGCACCTGCAAGGGGCAGGTTGGGCCAATGGGAGACCCTGTCTGCAGGTTAAATATTCTGAAGCCAGAAGAGAACCTACAGTTTAGAAAACTGGAGGAAACCAGATCCATATGTTTGAAGTTGGAGAGAGAAAAAAGCAAGCCAGCTGCAGAATGTTGCAACAGAGGATATGGCCACTTCTGAATAAGCGTTCTTAGTACTATATACATAGACAGAATTCCAGATTGT